GGGATGTTTTCTTGATGTGTACTTACACTTTATATAAAACTATCTGTTATACATGAGTTTCTGTGGATTTGTTTCTTTAAAGTACCCAGACCATCACAGGGGTATTGCAATCAATGACCTGAAACAAAATGTGTATGACCTGCTAAATGGCAAATTGGGCTGCTGTGTGAATTCACAACAAAAGGTCAATACTTGGGAATGCCTCCTTCCAGCTCCATGCCTGCTGCTGGGAGGGAGGGAGAGCGATGGACACTGGAGTCACAGATGTCTCAGGGAGAGCCAGGGCAGATTATCAAGGAGCACACTCCACTCACGGGATGGCGGCTTTGAGGAGTGCAGTCTGTGGACTGTCTTTCCCTCAAGTTCACTGTGAGGTTCCATATGCTAAATGAACTTGGACTGACTAGCATTTCTTGGATCAGAAACCACAAACCAGAACAGGAGCCTCTGTCTGGGGCAGAGCTTGGAAGCGGTGCCCTTCTGAAACCACCCCGAGACTCAGGTTGCAGGGAACCCAGGGTAAGGGCACCAAAAGTGCTCATTTATCAAGACCACTGGCTTTTTGAGTTTCCTGCTCCTGTATCAGATAATATCTGCTCGAGCGATTGGGTTTTCAGGGGCTAATCAGAAGCAGACGGCCAGGCCTTTCTTTGTAGCCTGTCTCAATCTAAACTCTGTCGCCTGTGGGTGACACTAATGGTACTGATGGCATCGTTTCCAACATCATAGCGACATAGAAGCTACCCAGATGAGACAGGCCGGCTGATGGTTTCCTACCGTTGATTTCCCTTTGTCATTGTCCAGTGGTCTCGGGAGGGAGAGTGCTCAGCTGTTCACCTTCTTTGCCACCATCTGCCACTATCGCCAATCTGGCTGCTGTTCCAGGAGGCCCCCGGGGAGTGTGCACACTCTGCTCTCAGGTGGGCCTCTGGGGCCCAAGCCCCTGTCAGTTTCCTCCTCTGGGAAGCAGGGGTGTAGCACCCAATGCCAGCAGCCACCCTTTCCCAGGGTGCCCTAGCCCTGACTCATCAGCTTCCCACCACTTCTTCCTAAGGTGCTTCCTACATAGTGGATACCTTTGAGTCCCAAACAGTGACCCGATTTACCTTGCTGTCCCCAAAAACTATAGTCTAGAGCAGTGGTTCTCAACCTGTGGGTCATGACCCCTTTGGGGGTTGAACGACCCTTTCACAG